GTACGATCAATCCAATCTGCAGCTTCGCTGATGACAGTACTCCACATGCAGGAACTTAGTGACAAGCCGTTGCCTGATCAGACAACCGGAGCCTGATTACAAATGAGTTTCGACCGTTGAAATTGATTTGGATGGCGGCTCGTGCCGATATACTTGATTTGCCCTGATACTTTTGACAATAACACGATAATATGAATATAGAAAATCTATATAATCAAATGTCAAAATTATCACAGCGAATAAAATGTATCATCACAAGTCAGCGTCGAAATTAATTACAACGGTTGAAACTCATTTAGAATCAAGCTCCTGGAGGTTATTACCGCATAGGGACTCAACAATCTCGTACAGTTTGATGCTCCCAAAACACAGTACTTTACCTTGACGAACAAACAGCATCCTAACGCTCATCTGGTTTCGATGGATGGTCGAGTTATGCCAAAGAGCCGTTCAATTCGGCTGGTCGGAGTCCAGATCACCGAGGACTTGGTCCGACACACACATCTCGTCAATAGCGACATCTACTGGCAAAAAGCTAAGCTATTTGTTTAGGGCTAGGAAGCACTTTTCTCCGCATGATATTCTCACTCTATACAAGGCCCAGATAAGGCCTAGCCTCGAGCATTGATCACACGTTTGGGGTGCTGCCGCCCCGACTACATATTTATGCTCGATCCTGTGGAGAGGAGGGCTGTCCGACTGATCGATGAATCTTTTCTAACAGGCAGTCTCGGGACCCTTTCGCATCGGCGGGCCGTCGGCGACCTAGCTCTCTTCCACCGCTACAGCAGAGCTTTGTTCCATGATACCTCCGCGCAATGTGCCTGCCAGACAGACCCGCCTGACTTTGGCCTCCCATCCTAACCCTGTCGTACATCCAGAACTGGCTGATACGACCGCTTCTTTTTCCCGAGGGTGTCGATTGTTGATATTTTTTTGGACGCGGAGATATAGCATCAGCTTGGCTATTCTCTGGAAGAATATGTTAAACAATGACTGTAACCTATACGTTTTTGCCCTAAAATGGCCACAATAATTATATGTCGCAAGGACTAAACTAACTAGTTTATTTGGCCTTTCATAACATTTGGTTAATTGAAACTGTTCATAGGTCACTGTTTGTCGGCAGTGATGTTCAGATCGTTCTGTGGTAAACCGAAATTCGTTGAATTATTTCACGAATGTTGACGCATGACCGGAATTATCATGCGTGGACGTGATGTACTAGTCTGAGCTTTTCAGAAAATGCACCTCGCGGGAAAACAGTAATGGAAATGATCAGCCGCTACGAGCATTTCAAAAAATGTGAGTGTTGCGGTTTATTGTTTACAAACACAATGTTTTCCATTAGGATTAGTGGAAACGCATCCTACGTGCTGTACATATTTTTTATCAGCCAAATGCCTGAATAGATTTTAACCTCATTTATCGGGTTTTCCTTTTTCGAGTTGGTGAGCTTTTTTAGTTGCGTTTTTCAACATTTATAAAGTGGCTGTAGTTACTTTTGGTTGAATTCTCTAATTCATTTCAATATATTCACACAGAAAATGTTCCAAGTATGTCTATTATGTCTTTGATATCATTTAAAACACTTAATACCCTGTTCATCATAGCATATATCAACTACAAACTTCACAGAAGCTGGCCAAGAGGATATGAACTGATAAGCAAAAGGCCTTATCACTATCTACTATACAGGGTGTCTGCGAATGGTTGGGAAATCTCGAAACTGGAGATACTCCAGACCAAAATATGTGAATTGACACTCTCTGATAGAAGATCTTTCATTACAAACACGCATGAATATGTGGTTTATGGGCGCTCCACCTCATTTTAGTATATTAGTTAGAGAGCACCTAAATAGAGTTCATCTAGACCAGTGGATAGGCCGATCAGGACCTGTATGGTGACCGGCTAGATCACCCGATCTAAATCCCATGGGTTTCTTCTTCTGGGGTGATTTAAAACGACGCGATTACAATCTGCCAGTGGAAACTGTAGATGATCTTCGACAAAGAATTTTCCACCATAGCCAGGAAATGAAAAGTAACATCTAAATGCTTTGGAGAGTGCAGCAAGGATTAGTTCGTCTAGCTCGAGGGTATGTTAGGCAAGGTGGTGCTCATTTTGAACAATTTGGTTATTATGTTAGAAACATATTTTATCATCTTGGTACCAATAATGCATTGGGATTTTTAAAAACAAATATCTCGGAAACTATTAGCTTTAGACACTTCGAACAAGTAACCTTTTTTTGTTGTGGATATACGAAAAAATAAGATTTTTCAGTCAGTTGTTGTATACAGGGTAGCACAAAAAACTTATGATAAGTTATTTACCGAAATAGTGTAGTAAGTGGCACCCTCTAGAAGTTTGGCCATAAAAAAATCTGATATGCTTCTCAAGCAATAAGGAGGAATAGAAAATAAAATTGAAACTTTGACACCCTGTATTTTGGTCTGTAGTATCTCCAGTTCCGAGATTTCCCAACCTTTCGCAGATCAAATTTTGTGGTGTAGACTACAAAAATGGAACTAGGATCTGGCCAAAGGTATGAGATAATTTACACGTTATCAAACTTTCAATCTAACATACTGCTTATGAGTAGCCCATTCAAATATATTTTACCAAGAAAATCTTGACTGGAGAATTGCAGTTTTTAGTAACTGGTATACAATTGCTCATAAAGCAAGGTCTGGATACAAAATAAGGCTGTAAGGTCGATAAGTCAAATAAACAAAGCTGTCAAGACATCTGAAATCATGTTCAACATATCTGCAACTTTTTTGCCTCATATAAACTGGATAACATACATGTAAAATAATACTCGACAAGCGTTTCAGTTGTTGTTTCGAGATATGAATCAAACAGTTATGGGATATGTTTCAGAAGTTACACCAACCAACAGTATTTCATTTTTTGAGTTTAGGTTGCTCACCACAGTTGCCGGACTATATTTGACTGCATGCTAGCGCATTATGCGACAGATTATACCGTTACAAGCGGCGGTGGTGAATTAACCCTTCATGAAACTAATAAACGGAATTGTTTTATTGTGTATTTGATGAAATGCACGAATAACATACATATATACTCGCTACGTTTCCAACTAGAGTGCGTTATATTTGTTCATTTACTTCCTCGAAAGCTGTTTTAACTTGCAGAAATAAAGACATCTAACATATTATAATGACCGTTTTCACTTTTGTAGTGCTCGATTCTGGTTATGGATGGCGCTTTGTGCTGTCTTATTCCAACAAATTTCTAAATCTCGGTACTAAAATTACATTGCTAGACCTGAATCGTATTACCCCTTGAATTTTAAATCGTTGATACCTCCCTCCCCGAGACTGACCATTTTCCTGAACATGAATCCTTGCGACCACCACTCCCGATACCTAAATCGACACAGCCCAAACAATAAGTAATACTTGTATATGTCTTAACAATTCTCTGACGCCTGTGTTTTTGATAAAAACTTTTGAGCGACAAAAATGTTAATGTAATGTACTTGTTGAAATCAACCCCACTTATTATAAATTTTGATGTAGCGCTAAATTTTAAGAAAGGTATTTACACTTTTCATACTTGATTTTGATTCCTAGGTTTTCATTGCGATGCATCAAATAATTATCCACTATGCTAGTACGTATTAAAGTTAACTTTGACCTTTTGGGGTATCAAGCTATCTTAATCATGCCTAATATCTCTTATACATTGTAGACGTAGGCATGACTGATAGTAGAAATTCTGGGACATGACACTGTTTTCCTCTCCTTTGTCCATTGCGCAAGCTATTTGTCTGAAACAAGCTCAGACGTTCCTGTACCTGGATCAACACCTACGAAATAAGTTTTCTAATACATTTTTCGTTAACGTGAACACACACCCATACACACAATCCTACTATTGTTTCTCAGGTGAATTGAACAAGGATCCATGTTATACTGAAGTGTTATTAAAATCGTACTAATAAATAAAATATCAAATTGGATACAATCGCATTTTCAGTATCATCATGCTTTTTTATTCTGTACTAGCACACGAACCAAACGATTTACATTGTAACAAAGCGCATAATCACAGACAGGAGGAATTGTGCACAATTACAATTCCCCGAAAGAAACGCTTAACCTCCTTTCGCATCACCGTTAACGACCCAAAGGAATCTCCCTCCCAACCAGCGCAATTTGAGTGGATTATACCTATAAGCCCCGTTTATCCCTTGCAATTTTCCTAAATTCCTTCGCTTCCCTTTTTCTAATATCGCAGGCCTGGCCATGCAAAATTGGAATTCGATAAATCGCTTATTGTTATTTTCATACTGACTGAGTTGCGTTCGTTGCCGTTTGCAATATGCTCAACTTTCAAAGCAACCCCATAAAATTACGTAAGAATAGAAGTTTGGAAGTTTCTTAGGATTTGCGAAATGTACCCGGATACAATCTCGGCAAATTGTAGAAGGCTGATATTGCGCTGCCATTATCGGAGTTAAAACGAAGTTCTTCCATTTCTGCCACCCATTTATCGAAGTTATTACAGTTTAATCTAGTGTTATCATCAAATAAGTAAACTGCACTGATCTATCAATATATGCGTACAACGTTATTTTGTTTTTAGACATTTCAGGCGGTACAAAGGGTTTCTTAACCCTTCGTTAGGCGCGCGGGCTACGATTGTAGCCCACCGATATTCGAATGGTGATGAAACGCAAAGAAAATATGCAGATGCGAGCGCCCCCGCTAGTAGCTGTTCTATTTGCTTTGCTCCACTTGATCAGTATGATGCGCGTGCTTGAGGCGTATTGTCGTTGTTGTTTTTCGCGCCTAAAATCGGCTGGTCTACAATTGTAGCCCGCGCGCCTAATCACGTAATATTTTCTCGGCTAGGCAAACCTTGGATTTTACTAGTTTTCATTGATTCGAGGTAAGTGTTACTGTTTCAATTGTAAATATGCATACAGTTATTCAATGAATTACAGGGAAATCTATAAAAACAGAATGTCCGACCCGAAAAGAAGGTGTGTACAGACAAGCAGGGATCCTGAAGTATGGATGCAATGGTTCAACGAAATATCAAGTGGGGAGGAAAGCCCACTCGATGAGGAAGACTCGGATGAAAAAGAAGAGGATGTGTGTGTGGAAAGTGACCATCATGAGACAGAGTCTGAACAAGAAATACCGGAGGTAGATCAAGATGAGCCTGATTGGGAAGAAGAAACCGATGAAGGAGAAGCTGATATATTTTACTGGGGAAAAGACAAAGTTACGAAGTGGAAGAAGGGTAGATCCAACACTCAAGTACGTACTCGGTCTCAGAACATAATAAAATTGTTGCCCGGAACAAAAGGTAGTGCGCGAAATGCCAGGAGTGAAACTGATTGCCTAAAACTATTTATAAATGACACGGTGATAAGAATTATAACTATTTCTACCAACATATATATCATGAAAGTCAAAAGTAAGTTTCAACGGTTCAGAGATGCCAGGCAAACTGATGAGAGAGAAATTACAGCTTTCATTGGAATTCTCATTCTGATTGGAACCCTCAGAAGTTCACGGAAAAACCTGAAAAATATTTGGGATAACTCTAAAGGAAGTGGAGTGGAAGCTTGCTATCTAGCGATGAGTGAAAAGAGATTTAGATTTCTGATAAGGTGTTTGCGGTTTGATGACATAAGAACAAGAGATGAAAGAAAGGAAATAGATAAGTTGGCGCCCATTCGAGAACTATTTGAAACATTCTTGGTGAATTTTCAAAACAATTTTATTGCCAGTGAGTACCTCACTGTTGACGAGCAGTTGTTAGCTTTTAGAGGACGCTGTGGATTCAAGCAGTTCATTCCATCAAAGCCGGCCAAATATGGCATCAAGACATTTGCGCTGTGTGATTCAAAGACATCATACACATTCAACTTGGAAACCTACGTTGGAACACAACCAGAGGGTCCATATAAGCTCAGTAATTCCTCCGAAGACATTGTAATCAGATTAGTAAATCCAGTGGCAGGGACCAATCGCAATATCACGGGCGATAACTGGTTTACCAGTTTATCATTGGTGAAAAAACTGTTACAAGAAAAAAAGCTAACCTACATCGGAACTATGCGAAAAAATAAGAGGGAGATCCCTCCACAATTCTTGCCGAATAAGAATCGACCAGAGAAATCGTCCTTGTTTGGTTTTCAGAAGGACTGTACCATGGTATCGTACTGCCCAAAAAAAAATAGATCTGTGATTTTGTTATCGTCCATGCACTTTGATGATGCAATAGATGAGGAAACGGGTGATGACAAAAAACCAGTAATCATAGCCGATTATAATCACACAAAAATTGATGTTGACCTGGTAGACCAGTTATGCCAGAAGTACAATGTTGCAAGAAATACACGTCGTTGGCCAACGGTGGTATTTTACAACTTGATCAACATATCTGGCATAAACGCATTGTGCGTCTATAAGGCAAATCACCCGCCACAAAAAAGAATCGCACGGTCCGACTTTTTACAAAGTTGTGCATGGGATCTGATCCGACCCCAGATAGAATTTCGGTCAACCATCCCGTCACTGCCAGTGGATATGAGGCGACGGGCACGAGCTACCCTAAATGTTAGGGAGGTATCACCTTCCCCCTCTAATCAACCAAAAACCACTGTTGGACGTTGTCATATTTGCCCTAGACAACGTGATAAATCAACACGTAAAATTTGTTCGCAATGTAGAAGGTTTGCATGCAAACAACACATGAGTGATACTTGCACGGCATGCCTGAAGGAATAGAAGTTTGTCATATTGGGGACTCCAGAACATTGCATTTATTATTATTTGATTGATTTGGATTTTGTGTTAGGTTAAGTATGTTGTATTTTTTCTCTAAATAATAAGTTGTGGTTCCACAGTTGTATATTTCATTTGCAAAAGACAATGAATACGAGCTGCTTCGAAAATACATAAGAAATATTCATAATTGGTATTTTATGCACATGCTAAAACATATTTGTACATGAAAGCAAGGAAATCACATTTTAGCGATTAAGTAATATCATAGTGAATATATCTTATGAAAAAAGCGGCATATAAAAGGCATAAACAAATTTTATATGGAATAAAAGTTGGGCTACAATTGTAGCCCGCGCGCCCAAATACGTTATAAACAGCCGCGCGCCTAACCGAGGGTTAATCCGATTGTCTTCACTGTGCCCTTTCTGGTTGAGAAAAGGTAGGCAATGTTGCTTGCAATCGGCCACGGAAAGTTGACGTTTGCCGAAGACGCTTAAGGATGTTGTGATATACTCTAATACCTGCGAACTAAGTACCATAATATATATATATATATATATATATATATAAAAGCCCCGTTTCACGGTTTGACTATTCGTCGTTATTCGTCAGAGCGGTCCGGTGGACCTTTGATCTTAGTTAAAAGTCTCCTCGGTCTTGCAGTCTGTCAGGTCTGGCTATCCAGATACCAAACATGTTTAAGGGGAAAAGAAGAAGGAAAGAAAGGAACGAAGAAATAGAGCAAAGGAAAGAAGTAAATCATTTGCGATAGCTTAAGTATTATTGCTTTGACTACTCAAATTATTTTGTAACTCCAAATAATAATTTTGATCGGTTTTGTATACTGAAATAATTTTGGATGGTCTGAATTTACAATTTAATTTTGATCACAGTGCGAGGCGCGGCCTGGAATGTTTGTGAACTTGCTCGACTGTGTAGTCTACTGAATCACGCAACAGAGGGTTGCTGTGCGATTCCGCTTGATTATAACGCCGCTGCGCCTGTTGATTTACATATTCCCTTAGATATTAAATATCAAGATCTCTTTGAATGGTCTCATATGACACGTACCAAGGGGCGTTAGTAATTGTGCGTAGGGTTCTGTTTTGCAGGACTTGCAGTCTCTGCATGTGCGTCTTGGCAAGAAAACCAAGCCGCGCATCCGTAGGTGATTGCGGGTCTTATGACCATTTTATACAACTGAATCTTGTTGATCAAACTTAATTTTGAATTTCTGCACAACAAAGGATAAAGCTGCCGAAAGGTCATTTGGAATTTCGTTTCCAAAATATCAGTATGTTTTTGCCAGGTCAACCCCTTGTCAATGATGACTCCAAGATACCTGACAGATTGCTCCCATGGTATACGAGTTCCATTCACTGATATCTCTGAGGGGGCACCGCAACGTTTAGATTGCCTCGAAGAATTAATTTTGATCAACCACCGATCAGCCCACTTCAATACTCCCTCCACCGCACTCTGCAGCCTGTCGTGAACCATGTTACCAGAACATGACTGGGCTAGCAATGCAGTGTCGTCACCATAGAGATAGACTTCACAGTTGCTGGGGCAAGGGACGTCATGTATATAAAGTGAATAAAGGATTGGTCCTGAGACCGAACCCTGAGGAACACCAGCTCTTACGGGCCGTGTTGTTGACAACAAATTGTTAATTTTGATCCAAAACTTCCTTCCTTCTAGAGAAGATTTCAACAGTTTTGGTAGTCAAAATGGAAAACCCTTTTGGATGAGCTTATACAAGAGGCACCATGTGCCACACCTTGTCAAATGCCTTTGATACATCCAGTACTTTTGTTCAGGGTGAACCCCCTGGTTACATGCTTCCCCGATCTAACTGCCTATAGCTCCGTTCTATGCTCAGACCGAAAGCCGAATTGACTTATCGTCACCTTTTCAGCGAGCTTAGAAGGAGCTGACAGCAGACTAATCGGAAGGTAATCCTGGGGAATATCGAATCTGCCTTCGTTTTGGGATGATGACTTCAGCGACCTTCCACGCCTTAGGAAAGTAATGAGTTCTGAGCATTGCATTAATTATTGCCACCAGATAAGCCTTAAGCGAAAGCAACCGCAGTGCTTTGTTGGTGATTTGATCCCCTCCAGGGGCTTTACGCACCTTTAGGTCCCTAATGTGGCCTTGGAGCTCTGCTGGTGTGCAAAACGGAATCTCAGAGGATTCCGTTGATGTGCTATGCTGAGATTCATCTGAAGAGTCTTCCGTAGAAGAATGTTCTGAAAGGAGTCACCGATGTTAGCACCGATGTCGGTACCGCCATTCGCTTTGAAGTATCTCCTGGCAGATCTTACAATTTGTCATTCCTGGTCAAGGTCATTGTCCAGATCATAATTGGGAGAGAACTGCCATTCCATGACGTCAGCAAAAACCTCCACTTTATCCTCAGTCCTGAAAACTATGCCACCAGGACCATGAATATGTGGTAGTTGTTGTTGCCTTCCATTTCTGATCGATTTTGCCACTTTCCAGAGAGGAATACTTGATTCAAGCATCCCCGCCAGAAAGCCGCTCCACTGCTCATTGCGGAATTCATGCAGTGCATTTGTCACTTCATGGACGAGATTCGTCGCTCCACGAATGTCATCAGGATGACAAGGCCTTTTTGCTTGGTTAATCGCAGCCCTCTTTTCAGAAATTTTCCGACGAATGTCAGCAGGGAGAATTCACGTTTTGACGTCTACTGAGGTGAACAGCTGTCAGCAAGTGACATCTTGAATCCGGTGTAAATCTAGTAAAACTTACTTGTAGCGTTTGTTTTTTGTATGCAACTGAACTTTTCTAAATAAAAGATAGAATATCAAGCACAAAATGAATATGTAGCGTAGGGTTCTGTCTACCTGGCGTTGACGGATCCATCAGAATTATGTCATTTGTCGATATGGGTTTTTTGAAATATTACTAGATAATCAGCTGTTATTGTACCGTAATGGCTACGCGTGTAGTAGTGTTTTGATTGCCGAATCCTAACTTAGAATTTCTCATCGATACAACACTGAGAAATGCAAGGCATCAGAGACAAACCAAAATTTTTCATGGAACTTGAGCTTTGGGTATTATCTTCTTAATTATGCATCTAAAAGTTCTTAGGAAAGGTCTACACTTTTTCGTAATGAGCAGTAATTTTGCACCTAACTTTTTTCGGAAACAAAATTTAAAACTACAACAGGCCCCAGATAATATATTTTGTGAAACAAATCATATCTATTCAATAAATATAGTGAAAATGACATAATAGAAGTCACTGTCAGATAATGTTCAACCAGACGTTTGCGTTTTGTCAACGATCTGTTCAGATCACTGCCAACATATACACCTATTTATAAAAACGAATGGAGTTTAAGCAAGGTGTCATACTGTTTCCAATACCAGATACTTCGCCATCGCTGCTCGCTAAGGAGATAATTGTTCGCATTTTTCACCATTCAAAATCTGGGAGGTTAGGAACAAAAGGTCACATTTACTTACATATTCAGCTAATTAATTTTTCTTAGACTCAAAACGTTGAATCCTATCTACGTATATATATACAAAATTTGTTTCAAGGGAAAATCGAGTGAAGCGGACGTGTTTGCTTTCTGTCTCTGTAAAGACGATCAACCGCAGACACCGCTGTTTCGTGCTCATTAGCAAGTCATCAGTGCGGAATAGGCCTTAGTCGGTAGACAGCTGAACAGAAAGCGAACAAATGGTATGATCGTGTCAATTTATGCATATTTGAACAGAAAGTCATTGTTGGTCTGGTTTGTGAACACTTTATAGATATTACCATTGTTAGGTAGACTTTTCGCCTAACCCCACGTAGGAATATCGACTTGAACAGGGAACAAAAAGTTACATTTTCATTGATTCGCAGTAATACTTTAATATCAAAAGGTTTCATCTCCTTAGTGGATCGTAGGGCCCCTCAAATCGATTACCGGGCGCGATATGGCAGAGGTCTGAGGGAGGAACGTAGACCCTAGTTTTTCAAATTATATATATTTTTTTATTTTTATTTGTTTTATTATAACTTTATCGACTGTACCTACATACTGTTTGGACGGTTCTGAATATATCTTGACGTGGATTATGAAATTTTGAATGAACTGTGTTCCTGACTTTTAAAACCGTGTGCGCATTGCAACAAAAAATCAGTATTTTTAAATGTATTTTCATCTGTTTGAACTTTGAAATGCAACTCATGATCCCACTGACAGAGTTCGAAGAAAATGTACAACGCTGCCAAGTCTTCGAATGTTACAATCATATGGACTGAATTCTGATTTTTTTTTAAACTATTTCAATCGCAGTGCGTGATGTGGCAGAGATGTGAAATAATTCGGCTTTAACATGTGTTCATACCACACTAAATTTGCTAAATATTTTGACGTAAAAATTGTAAGAACAGCCAGTGGCGGACATAGACGACGGGGGAGACGGCCAAGGCAATTTTTCAATATTGCTGTATGTTACTAGACCTGAATCGTGAGACTTGCAACATACCCCCCTCAATGGATTATATAAATGTATTTTGGTTTCTTGTAGGAAACGCTGAAATCACTGTCAGCCGTGATGTCACGTCATACAAACTGTAAACAAAGAAGTGTCATCCGGGTGAGCTAACGTTGATGTTAAATCGGATGTTTCTAAAAAACTCGTAATCAACGTAAAAAGTTACCGTTTCCTTGTTTTACTGAAAGAAACCAATCATGGACGATGGATCGCAACAGCAGAAACGATAAATTTGCCAAAAATTGACAGTTTGATAGTTGGTAATTTCTTTGCCATCAACCCAGAATTCTGTTCTGCAGAGATGAGGAACATCAATACTTATATGCAAGTACAGTGCATCTGATATAATGGCAGACATATAAAGAAAGAATAATAACTTACACATCCTCCTTTTCAGAAGTCCTACAAAGCTAAGCTCATGGTTCATAAACTCTGCATAATTTTATCTAATATTGTATTTCTTCTAACACGTC